TAGTATTAATATCAATATTATTATACTCTTTTTCATAATTATTATTTATTCAAGTAGTTTTAATCGACCCATAAGTCTCTCTCCCTTCTCTCCTCTCCTTCCCCTTCTGGGAAAGGACGGGGTTAACAGAGAGCATCTGCCCCCCGCTTTAAGCACCCACCCAGCCTTAAACCGGGACAGCAGCAGCCGTAGGGGGCTGAGTATGGAAGAGAAGCTGGACAGAGGGAAGCAAAGGGGCTCTTCAGGGGCCAGAATGCCTCCCCCTGGCTCCGCTCGGAGATCCCTGGAGAGGAGGACAAGGAGCACCCAGATGTGCCAGGCTGCCTGCGTGGGAAGAAGCTCGCTTAATTGAACCCTCTCTTCTTCCTTCCGCGTCCCTTTGCAGTTCTCTTCAGTAGCAAAGAGCTCTTAGCCATTCCAGCTTATGCATTCTGTGTGTCAGCCCTCCTTGTGCCCCTGTTTTATTTAGTTACCATCAGTTTTTTGTTCAAAATGTTAAGCAGGAATAATAACCAAAGTCATTACGTCCAGTTTGCTTTGAAAGGTCTGGGTAGAACGCACCTTCTCTGTAGCAAATCTCCTTTGACCCGCGGCAGCCTCTCTGTCTGGTGGTGGGTCGGTCTAGGCGTGAAGGGGAAAGGAGAAGGAAAACTGCTTCTCTTTTATAAATGGGCAATGCCTGTAGCGGAAGATCAAAAGTCCCCTGGTCTCGCTCTTTCACCCTGATAGAGATTCTTGCTGTGTTGTTAGTTTGCATGCCATACAATAACGTCTCTGCAGCTTCATCCCATAAGGACTGTGCCTCATCTGTTTGCCTCTTTCACGAGCCTGTTGATATAAAGCATTAATCATTCAAATTATTAATAAAGAAATAATAATCCTGGCTGTTGCTAACTATCTGATTTCCTTTCTTTTTCTTTTTTCCTTTTTTTTTTTTTTTTTTTTCCCTGTGCACATTTCTTTAGCTTGAAATGGCGATTGAAAACCTACAAAAAAATGAAGGGATTACATCACACAAAAGCAGTTTGCTCAACAGCCATGTAAGTTACAATCAGAATTTACAACCTTTTTCCTGCTTTAGTGGGAGCATTATTTGTAGCCCTTTGGTGTATTCAACGGCACGAGCCACTCAAAGCAGCTCTCGTGATTCAGCTGTGCTGCCCAAAGCAGCCCATTCCCAAGAAACAAGAATCTACAAAAAAGTGCCATGATGTTAATGTTTGTTTATGAGATGCTCTGGATTCTGTTAACTGCCTCTACCCTGTGTTTATTTATTTCATCTGCCTTGCAATGGAAATTGCTGGCAATTAGATAAACACATTGGAGGGAGTTCTTTCCTTTCACTGGGATTGAAAGATGGCTGGAAAATAACTTGCAATTCTACAGCAATAACTTGGCGTGAATCATGACATATCCCTCAGATAGCGCGTACCAAAAGCCTACTCCTGTGAATGCCTTTATTGCCTCTTTCTGTGCCTCAGGAAGACCGTTACTATTACAATGCTATGCTAAATACATTTGCTAGACCTCTCTCTTCTCACTATGCCAACAATTTCCCTGCTTTGTGTGAAGTTCCCACTATTTCACTGGGCCTCCTGCATCATCGTTTATGGCTCCCATGCAGTAAGGCTTAACAGTGAGCACATGCTTCTGTGAGGTTCGAAGGGTCTAATTCAAGTCCTGGTGAGGTCATTGGACTTGCCTTGACTTCACTGTGTTTTGGATTAGGCTGAAGCATGTTCTGCACTGATAAATCACAGTGCACAAAGTGGTACTTCTTTATTCTAACAGATTTCCTTTTGCTTTCTATTTGAGGGCAGATCTGTCGTCATTCTTAGGTCCTGCCAAAAAAACCCTAAATCTTTGCCCTCTTCACCCTAGAGAACTAGCTAGAGAAAATGTAAGGAACATTAGACCTAACAGTCTGATTCTCTTAAGCTGATATCGAACTCCAAGCCAGGGCTCCTGGATGAGCTGGATCCTTATTTCCTCTCCTAGAAATTGAAGGTTCCTGGGTGTAGTTGGGGGAACACAAACCTGCAGCATCAGGCTGGTAGCTCCTGTTCTCTGCATCCGTCCTGTCCCAGGCTGTGGCCATGTTCCCACGCCCGTGCTGTGCCCTGAGTGCCGCACACCTTTGTCTAAGGGTAATGTTGCTCTGCAGAATTTTTCTTGTTCGTCCCAGTGCAGAGCAGGACAGGATGGGTCATGGTGTGATATTGAAGGAGGTTTGACAAAAAGCAGGAAAGGGGCAGAGGGAAGAAAGCCAAGATAGGAAAGAGATTTCACCTGACCGCGGGCTGCGCAGGATGGAATTGGGGCCTGATCCAACCTCTGATCCTATCTTCTCCACCCTTGTCTTGCAAGGTAAAAGTAAAGAACTTAATGTCTCTCTTCTCAGGTCACAGTTCGTAGTTTGGCATAAGGCTTAAGTTCTGTTACAAATTCTAAAGCAAATAAACTGCTTCCTGGGCATGTGTGTACAGATCATCTCGCTGCCTGTCCCTGCTGAAGATGTCAGTCCAGGCACAAGCAGTGTGCTGCCCTGGGCAGCTCCAGGGCTGGGGCGGGTAATTCCCTCTGCCAGGGAGCAGAGCCTGAGCCAAGGAAACTTGCGGGGCCCTTGTTGCCCCGTGAACCTCCGGTGTCCTTGCTCTGCCTTCCCAGAGCACGGAGCGATGCCTGCGGACGCGTGGGAATGACGAGGAGGCGACGATACGAGCATTGCCTATAGGAAACGCGGCACATTGCAGAACGGGATCAGGCAATCTCTTTCTAGAGCTGGAGGGAGGTTGGTGCCGTTGCCCGGGGAGGTTCTCAGGACTTGACTGAATGAGCCGTTGGACTGGACTGAGGGACCTGACTTCCCTTGAAGTGAGCCCTGATTTGAGTAGGAGGCTGGATTGGGTTTGTAGAATCATCATCAAATGGTTTGTGTGGGAAGGGACCTTTAAAGGTCATCTAGTCCAACCCCCCTGCAGTGAGCAGGGACATCTTGGATGGGGCTTTGAGCAACCTGGTCTAGTGGAAGGTGTCCCTGCCCATGGCAGGAGGGTTGGAATGAGATGGTCTTTAAGGTCCCTTCCAACCCAAACCGTTCTGTGATTCTGATCTTCAACGAAATCAGGTTGCTCACAGCCCCGTCCAACCTGACCTTGAATGTTTCCAGGGATGGGGCATCGACCACCTGGAGACTGCCAGAGGTTGCTCCCAACCGCAGGGTACGGGACAGCCCGATGCGCGCGTGGCGCTGAACCTCTCTGCACGTCTTCCCTGGCACATGCCGCGTTACAAGGGTTTCTGCTGTCCGGGGTGTTTCCGTTGCCACCTCCTTATGTTAAAAAAGCAAAACAAAAAAACCAGACAGAGGGTTGCCTATCCCAAACGCTTGTGTGACTGACACGCGGTGTTGTCAGGCGTGCACCTGAGACCCAGAAAGTGAAGCAGCAGGTGACCGTGATTTGTCAAGGCTGAAAACAAAATATGAGCTTGACAGAAGCTAGTCGCTGAGGAAGTTGTGAGATAATGCTAATGCACGGTTAGTTTTGACTTAATTGCTTTTGGTCTTAAGGTTGCTGAGTTTTTCAGTAAGTGTTCTGTTCCTCATTTTAAATTTCACGTTTTGCAAATCTGTAAATTCTTGGGATAATGGTTTATTTTGTTGCCGTCAGCAGATATTTCATGCCAGGCATCTTTGGTTTGTTTTTTTTTTTTAAAAAAAAAGGAAAACTAAAGGTATCTCAAGAGGGATTTTTTTACCTAATGCTGTTTAAACAAAGTCAGTATGAAATGGAGCCACGCTTGATAACTTAATTTAGCTTCAAAAACTCTCTGAGAGGTTATTTAAGTGCACTTGAAATATCAAATTTGGAAGCTTAAGCTAATGTTAGTACCCCAGTGACACATGATGTTTCTAATGAAATCATGTCAATCTGTTACTGTTATTGGAAACGCTCTGCTCACAAGCGTACTCCAGAGTCGCTGGGTCAGAGCGTTACTTCTTTGCCAATTATGAGCTTGCAGACGACTCAAAGAAATCTGAGAAAAAATGACTACAATTTTTGTACACGAGTGCCTAAAGCTGGGCATGTAAGGAAACAGTTGGATGCTATAACCTGCCTGAGGCCCTGCAGCTCCTAGATATCCATAGCACCCACAGGAGTAGGGGGAAAACGTATTTTGTCCTCACTGCCTGTAAAGCAAAAAAAAAATCCCAAAATAACCCCCCAAAAAACATTGGACTCCTTTCCTGTGGGTAGGTGCTGATGGAGTTTTCCCTGAGGAAAAGATCTTACCCCCAAATGGTGTTTAGGTGGAAACACCTAAAATGAGACAGAACAGAGAAGTAGGAAAACTCTTAAAGGGAATAATTCTCCCTTGGCCGGAGGAGGAATATAATGACCTAATGAAGGCTGAATCTTCTGCTCGGTGGAGAAAGGCGGGCGATGCTGGAGCTTGTGCTCACGTGCATGGATGGCTCAGGGCTTAACTCTGCAAGGGACAAGAGCTGACAGGCACTTGTTTTAGAAAAGAGGCTTTTCAAGAAAATATCTAGGTTTTGGTGAAACTTTAATTGCAGAAGATCGGTGAGGTAGAGCGGGGAACTCCCAGTGCGAGGGAAGCGTTCCTCCCGGTCGCTGAGCTGGGGATGCTCAGCAGGCACGCGGGTGGTCCAGGGTCCGTCCTAACTCTGAGCTGGACTGAGCTTAATCTCAGATAAAAACTCCTTAAATATGAACCACAGATGTGTGTCTTCATTAATTTCTTTTTTGTGGAAGTGCCCATAAGAAAACCTCTCTAAGTGTAGACCTTCAGAAAAAGAAGGGTTCTGTCCCCAGTCAGCTCTGCGTATTGCTTTTTCCACCCTTCAAGAGCCATCCTTGAATTGAACAAGGACGAGGTTTTTGTTAAAGGATTTTTTTTTTTTAATCAAAACAAACAGTCGATAGAAATAAAGTAGAAATGAAATGTAAATGTTCCCTTGTAGTGCCTATAATAAACAAAGCAGCATATGGCTGCATAGTGATTTTATTGGAACCTGACTGTAGTATAAACAGAAACAAAACCGTGGAATATCTTGTCATTGTCACAGCTGAGCAAAATTCAAAAAGTAAACAGAATAAGGGATACAAGTGGAAAGCATCTTTAATGTTCTCATTTTAAGTGCCCGGTCTGTTATTACTAATGCAGGAAGAGCAAAAATCATGTTTTGTAAATTATATTCTGACAGATTTCTTTTTTAAGCTCTTTTGTGTGTTTCATAATAGATTTCTAATTCGATAGTGGGAGTTCATATTGTGAAACTCTGTGATGGTTAAAGGAATATAAAAAGACACTTGCAGAAAAAGAAAGCTGGAAGATGAAGGGAATATTCTAGAAATATCTGGGATGAGACTAAAAATGTCCAGGATTTATTTAAATGAGAGAGTTTTACCTATATCTGAATTTTCCATAGTAACATGCAATATTTTTTTCTTTTTAAGGCTTGGAATTAGAACAGATTTAGAAAATAAATAGGGAATCGACATTCAGTATCTTCCGTAGGATAAATAAAATAAATGGTAAAAAAAAAAAAAAGAACCTTCTTAATCATGAACCTTTTAAATACAGGTGATGGACCAAAATTAGCACAGTTGTGGACTACTTAAAAACTGAGCTCCTGCTGGTCTTTTACATCAAAAATACTGCGGTCCACTTTTGTTCGAGCTAGCTTAATGGGTAGGGGAGGCTCAGGGCTACAGGACGGCTTTTTGGGGCTTCCCAGAGATGTCTCTTCAGCAGATGAGAGCACGAAGGGATGCTGGTTGTTAACGAACACCATCTCTTAGGACTGCAGGGTTTGGAGGTGAGAAAGATCTTTGTCTGTGGAAGAACACATCAAAGAATGTCTTAGGTGATGTGTAGCTTATGAAAGGTGAGGAGGTGACAAGCAGCTCTCTGCAAAGCAGGACAGAGGGGAAAAAGGCCAAGAGGTTTTTCGTCTTCCAGCTGTGGCAGCCCCTGGGCTGCTCCAAAGGCCACCAAAACTGATGGATCCGGTCAGTTGAACTTGCGGTTGCGTTGGATCAAAGGCAACTAAGGAATGAAATAGTTTTAACTGTACAGCTTTGGATTCAGCTCACTTTATGTAGCAGAAATTTAAATTTGCGGATGTGAATGATAACCACAGAACATACATTTATAGGTGCTGGAAAGCCTTTGTGTGAGAGCGAAGTTGCATGTAAAGCGCATAAACTGAAAATAACTCAATGGAGTGAGGTGTCAGAGATGTCATTACACATTTCAGGTTGTATTTTCACAGAGTTACTGCTACAAAACTCCAGCATAGTGGTGAATTGGGACCCCAAAGTTTCACCAAGAGAAAAGGGTAGAAAAGAGCCAGGTACTGAAGTAGGAGTGGAGAGGACTTAAGCATAGGCCAACTTGTACATCCATGTGCGTGGTTGAGTCCCGCTGGTTTCTGGACTAAGTTTGTGCTTAATTACAGTATGTGCTTGACCTCTTTGTCGTAAGAAGATGATGTGGCTAATATTTTGGCACCCATAACTTGAGTCTCTTTTGCCACTGATCTGGTGCGAATGCAGCTGCTTCTGGTGGAGCTGTGCCTCCTGTGCCTGCAGGGATGGAGGTCTGGATGGAGAGGGAGGTCTTGAAATTGTTAATCCCAAATGTTCCTAACGACAACGAAAGGGCTCTTACCAAAGCTATTGGTTTTACTCCATTGGTACATCTAGTTCCTTCAAAAATTCACTTAATGTAACACTTACTTTATTGATGCTGAAATCATTTAGCCAATGAAAGGAGATTGGAGTTTTTGTCTTTTTGCACTTTAATTCCTGTACTGACATTGTGTGCTGGGCCTGCCCTTTCAGACTGGCTGGGTATAAATAATTTATATTAATTGCAAACTTTAATCAACAGAAATGTCAGAAGTTCAGACAGTACATTTTGAAAAATAGATGGACCCCCTCAGATTTTTAAGGTTGCTTTGGTAACCATTAATTTTATTGTTAAGGGAACAGTTGCAGACATGCCAATCTGCAAATTAATTTGCAGCATATTTTGTTCCCCTAAAATTTATTCCTCTTAGTCAGTATCTTAACATCTTTACTCTTGGAAAACACGAGTTCCTACAGCTTTGTTTTGGCTCTGCAGGAATTAATCTGAATCCAAGGTGGACACTGAGATGGCACGTGGACTGTGTTTTAATGCTCTTGCAAAATCTGACAGCATTTTTGTTTGGGTTATTAGCTTTGGGCTGGGGGTCCTTTTACTTGTATAAAAATGTAACCAGCATGAGTTATATAGATTAACTTATATAAATTAACTACCCAGCATTAAGTTCTCTCGAACTCTTAAGGGCGGATGGGCACTCCTGACATTTAAGCATTGACACTGTTTGACGCAGCCCGTTCCAACCCTCTTTAGACTTTCCTGAGTTCTTTATTCATTTATGTTTTCCATACATAAAGCTCCAGTGGTTGTTGGACAACTACGAGACGGCGGAAGGCGTCAGCCTTCCCAGGAGCTCTCTCTACAACCATTACCTGCGGCACTGTCAGGAGCACAAACTGGATCCAGTGAACGCCGCTTCCTTTGGAAAACTGATCCGTTCGGTGTTCATGGGGCTGAGGACTCGTCGCCTGGGAACCAGGTTGGTATGAATCTACATTTAAATAAAAAACCCCAACCTCCTACTTCTCTCACGCATACTGAGAACCTACCGAGCATCATTTAGCAGGCACTGGTCTTTCTTCTGAGATCTACAGAAACAACCAACCGTCATCTTGTGGGAAAAAAAAGTTGCTGTTCCGAGGCACTGAAGTAATTTCCATGTGTTGTGAGGCCAAGCCGCTTTCTCACCGTTAATCAGCGGTGTGAGAGGCTTGACAATACAGTTAAGTTCAGACCCACTCCGGGTCTCTGGTGACAGTGCCGTGTCCAGCCACACAGTGGAATTTGGTCTAAGTCCATTTCCTAAGAAGTCTAAGAATATTTTATTTGGACCTAGGCTTCCTCTCATTCCATTGCTGTCTCAAAAAGATGAAGTAACTCATCTTCACCATTGCCACTGTCAGCTACAGAGCCCAAAATTCTGGGGCAGTGAAATGGTTTCTCCTGTTGGGTCCAGTAAAGGTTCTCCGTCACAGAAACTGTGCCCACATCTTTGATGCAGACAAGCTGTGCAGATGGAAATGGCTTAGTTCTCAAATACTCAAATCTTGTGGCAGAATTTTTGCTTTTAAAACATCAAAGATCCATATGATGTGACAACAAAAATGTAACATAAGAAAATATACTTACCGTAATTACATATGCGTCCTTCAAGGGAGCATCATAATATCTGCTCAGCTTGCACAGCTGAGTTTGCATTTTATCCCAGCATCTAATTTTTAAAAAGTAGCTAATACACTAGAGAAATAGTGATTGCTCTGATTGTGTAAGAGTTTGTAATAAAATTCGCTTTTAGACGTTTGGGCTTCTAAACGAGAACAAAACTAGATGGGTCCAGGGCATTCCACAGGGGGAATGTGAAGGCAACAGTCGTAGAAAGAGCAGGGGAGAGTTTGGATTTCTGTAGATTGGTTCAAGTGCAAGAGCTCTGAAATAATTTCATTAGAGGAGAGAAACTCTTCAATCCCATCAAGGATTAAAGAAAAAACAACTAAGAAAAAAACCACATTTAAAAATGCAAATGTGCAGGCTGGGAAGGATACAGTAAACCTCCATAAATATGGAAATAGCTGTCCACCATTATTTTCTTATTCATTCATTTAGATTATAAATGCAGCTGTTATTTAGTTTGCAAGCACTTAAAATCACTTAAGACACGGCCGAAGCGTACTTCATACTTAGCACTCAGTATGCATAAAACCCTGTGGTACGGTGACAAAGACTGAACGACTCAACCGTCTCCTTGAAAAGAGAAAATTCCCCACCAAGAAAGAAAGGGTTAATTCTTTGACAAATATTCCTCTCTTAAATTTGTCTATGTGATTTTCCAATGGGAAGCATCATTGGATTTAAGGTGCCTCCAGACCCTATCACAGTGACACAGCAAATGAATTTTAAGCATCCCCAATTAGGGCTCTGGAGACCCTGCGGCTGCTCCCCTGGCTCGGTCACCTCTCCCACTGAGGACTCAGCGCAACCGTTGTTAGCCACAAATTGGCTAAAGCCAAGTTAGATGTACTGTCGTCATGTATCCATGGTTCCACAGTTGTCCTTCTCGCTCCCAAAAGCAGACACTTGGGGGTTGAAAAATTCCAGTTTGGTGGAAAAACTTTAACTGACACATCTGTCTGATGTGATGGAAGGACATTCTCCTAAGGAGCATCACAGCAGCTTTACTGGCCAGCAAAGGAAAAAGAATTACAGCCTCTTTTGCTTGCGAAAAGCTTTCAGTTTTTACAAAAAGTACAAAAATAAGCAACTCCAAGAAAAAAAGCCACATCAAAGCCTGTTGTCGTTGCTGTGAAAGTGCTGGCAACAGAGAGACATTTTTCTTATCGTAGCTGACTATTCAGTCAGGCTTGTTTTATCCAAGTCTAGATAAAGATGGAAGTTTGTTTTTATGGAAAAAACAAATCCTCAAACCCTAATCAAATAGCCAAGTGTCCCCTGAGGTCTTTCTGTCATTCTGTTTAATAGCACTTTGTATTGTAACACTTGTCTCTTCTTCTCCAGTTACCATGGGTTACTTGGAACAAACCTTGCCGGGTTTTAAATGTGGATGTTACTGAACTTTGCAACATGTGGTTTTATATTTTATGGGGGATGATGGCATTCATTAGTTCAGCCGTTCAAATAGCGCTTGGCAGCAAACCGACGCGTGCTGTAAGAAGTAGGGTGTATTGTCAAAACAAGCCTAAGGGTAAATTGCAGGGCTACGATGTCCCTTCCATTGACTAGCTTACACTGAGTAATTTCAACGCTGATACTTCCAGGGGAAACTCCAAATATCATTATTACGGGATCCGTCTAAAACCAGAGTCTCCGCTGAACCGTTTGCAGGAGGACACCCAGTACATGGCAATGAGGCAGCAGCCCATCCACCAGAAGCAAAGGTAGGTGCTCCCAGCATCTTGGAGCTCGCTAGCGGTGCCCCCGTGGCTGCCGCGGGCAAGGGTCCCTTCCCAAAGAATGCAGCAGACCACATCTTGGGACTTGGCTTCGCTTGGGAGCAAGGGGAACGTGTTGGGACGGTTCAGACCCAAGTGTTGCTGAAGTGCCAGAGCTGAGCTGTGGAAGAGGGGGCTTCAAGTCACTGGCTACTCTGAGTAGTGGAAGGGTCCAAAAATAATTCTGGTGGATGCCCTGTCCCTGGAAACATTCCAGGTCGGGTTGGATGGGTCTCTGAGCAACCCGGTTGAGTTGAAGATGTCCCTGCTTGTGGCAGTGGGGTTGGACTGGATGGCCTTTAAAGGTCCCTTCCCACCCAAACCATTCTGTGATTCTACAAAGCGGCGTTTATCTGCCTATTCTGTTTGCCAGTGGTGCGATTCAGCCCGCTGCGACAGAGAATGCCACCGTGTGTGCCGCTTTTTCAGGCGTCCCTGTGACCAAACTGTGTTAGGACCTCAGCTCCGGAGTTATTTGTGCCACATCAGTGTAAAGGGTTTGAGGGCTTGTGTTGTGTTTGGGTGGATTTGGGGTTTTGTTTGTTTGGGATTTTTTTTTGTACAAAAGTGCAAGTTAAATACTGCTGTGGTTAATCTTGTGTCTGAGTAATTTTGAATATAAAACACAACGTGCAAAGGAATTTGGAATTGTCTCTTGGAAGCACGGACACTTCTGGTTCTTGCTGGAGTGAAGAAGGAGCAGAAGAATTTATTTCTTCGATTCCCAAACAGAAAGTAAATGCAAAAGTCAGCTCCTGAGACAGAGTCTGCAGTCTGGCACCCACTCCAGCTCTGCTTCTCATTTTCTTTTTTTTTTTGGTGTCACCTTGGGCAAACCTCTTACCCCCTTTAATTCTGTCTTGGGGAGTGCTTTTCAAAAGGAGGTTCTCATTTTCCCCCTTCACTTGAGTAAGTGATATAAACGGTCAGCCCTCAAAATGTTGGCCTTGAATGTAACCTCATGTTATTACACGATGAACGCAAAAGTCTGCATGGCCGTGTTGGAGATGGTAACGTGTTCGTGTCTGCTCGTGCCTGTGTAAATCCCAAGCCACAATCTTAAATTTAGGTATAGACCAGCACAGAAGATGGATGGCATGGCAGAGAGTGGGTCCAATAGTAACCCGCACACTACGCCGGAGCAATCGGTTGCTGCTCAGAGTCAACATCATCAGCAATTCATAGGTGAGGACACTGCTTTAATGTGGTAAGGTATCTTATCTGTAGGCTTAGAGCTTTAAGAGGAAGGAAGGTCTTGTCCAGCAAGCCCTGACTGTTCTGCATTTGTTTGCTTTTCTAAGAAATCTACAGTATTATATATTATACATACATAATATACATCTAGTTTATATATAGTATATATTCTGATAAGCTCTTGTAACATCACACTTGCTAAGTTTCTTTGCTAACTCCTTTCCCCACAGGAAGGCTTTTTCCTCATGCCATCAGGTCTGTTGGTTCCCTTTTAGTGTGTTTTTAATCCCTCTGGTTTTATCCAAATTGAATGGAAGGAGTGGAGGTGTTGGAGAGCCTTGCTAAGAGAGGCAGCTGGAGGGAGAAGAGCGATTCTCTTCATTGCAAAGGCTGCAATACATATCCGACTGCAGACGATCCGTACGGACCTTCTTGTGAGACAAACCTCTGGCTTTGCTGGTCCTGGATCTACGTGTTGCGGAGATAGCAAATCCCGGCCAGCTCTGCAATACAATTGCTCCTGATACGTCTGCTGTCCAATTATATTTTCCATTGTACTCCTAAAATACCAGAGAGACATTTTTCAAGCTTCGGAGAAAATGTAATGGGAAGTGTGGTAGATGAGGACAATGTATTCTTGTTTCTTTTATTACAGAGAGAAAGAAAACATTTTCCTTTCCACGCTGAATAAATGGGCTGCGGTTGTTCGCTTTGTGCCCAGTACAACAGCAAGGATCAGGGAAAGTACCAGATTATCAGTCTCATTTCTCCTGTTTCATCCCAGCTGAAACATGAAAGATCGCCACCAGCAACAGCAGCACCTTGTACTCGTCTGTAGTCCTGTGTAACCGAGCGCTCCTAACTCTCACCATCTTTCCCAATCTTCTTTTTTTCCCCTAGATGTAACCCATGTCTTCCCTGAGTTCCCAGCCCCTGATCTACGTAGCATCATCTTAGAAGACGGGGTCACCATGAACGATGTGAAAACTCTGCAGCTTCTTTACACAAGACACTGCGAGGTGATTATTTGGAATATTTTTAATTGATTTATTGATTGATGTGGGACATAATTCATATGCTCATCTCATATCCTGCTCTTAGAAAAAGCTAGGATATAATAGGGAATGCTTGATTTGCTAGGTATTACAACTCAAATATTGCGCTTCATGTTATTTTTTCATTGTGTGGCCTGTTTTATGTTATGTTGATTATTAGAACAATGCCCTTTCTGTTATTTTTCTTGTAAATTATTTAATCTAGATGGCACCACATGAAATTTATGCCTACACCGTGTGACAAGCTGCTAGCAGAGCAGCTAATGAGTTGTGTTCTTTGTTTCTAGGCGACTTTGGATGTTGTAATGAATCTTCAATTTCATTATATTGAGAAACTGTGGCAATCCTTCTGGAGTCCTAAAACACCATCTAGTGATGGCTCTGCTGCCCTGCCATCCAGGTACACTGCTGTGCCTTGATTATTTCTGAATGATTCGTTTTTGGGTGATATTTTTTCTTTTACAAATGCACAAAGTATTTTCAGCTTCCTTAGGCGTCCTGACTGCTTTGTAGGACTTGAAAGTATTTACTTCCCTGCAGAATCATTACAAAGAGAGTCAGAAGTGGTTAATATCGTTATGACCACACAAAGTTCAGACTTCCCAGGAAAGCATCTGCTCTGACGATGTACATCTACGTGCCTTATACCTCCTGTAACAAGTGCTAATCCAAAATGCAGAGATGAATGAGAACGGGATGCTGCTTTCGTAAGAGGTCATCAGGAGCAGACGGTAACGATTCCGTGTGATTAGGTGTCCGTCTCGAGTGACATCTCAGGCTCTGAGGTTTTAGTGACATATAGACTGACTCGCTTCTTTGGCTGGCTATCCAGGTCTTTAAGTGCCTCGTGTTTTGAGGCAGATAATGGCAAACAAACTCTTTGTACTCCTGCCTGGCTCGTTGTTATTGCCTTTTCTTCATCCTTTGTGCGTTGGTAGTCTGCTGCCAAGAGACAGGGGAATGGAAATAAATGAATATAGAGAAAATTGAAAAGGTGAAGGTTTCTTCTTCAAATTTGTATTAAAAGTCTGTATTGTCCACTTCTACTGATAATATAAGGACTGCCAATACGGACTTTTTATATTCAGAGGAAAAATGGTAAAAGTTTGAGTACTAAGCGGTACCCTATAATAATCTGTAGAATATGGCCCTGTTGTCCCCAGTAGATGTTACCCAATGGATATTTTCCAGTGAGGAATCACTCTAGCTGTGTATGATTGTTTCAAAATCTCTTTTACGTAAGGGTCTGTCTCCAAGGCACATTGCAGCAGCCCAGGGCGAGCCGTGCTGGGTACAAATAGCCTCACCTGGAGGCAGCATTTCTGCAGGGCTCTGTCTAAGGGTGTGTGCTCTAGTACCTCTCCATCCCATTGCTAATAATCAAGATGATAGGTAAATAAAGCACTCCCTCCCCCTGCTTTGTATGTATACAAATATAAACCCCAAATATTATCAAAGTGGCAAACTGTTGGAAAGCATGATAAAATGTAGAATATGGTTCCACTTAACAGAAAGTTTCGGTACTTAATGGCCAGTTTCTCCGTGTGCGTGTTCTAGGAGTATGCCTGTGGAGTTCATTTACTAAAACTGCTCAGGCAGGGGGTATGAGTACCGCTTTATAGTATGTCCAAGGCTTGGCTTTAATGATTTTGAGGTAATGCCTGGGGAAAGTCCCTTCCAAATTCCCAATTCCCAGCATAGTGTCTGAGCAGCTCAGCTTTGATGCTCTGGCAGTGCATTAAGGCTTCGGTTTTCCCGGCTTGCTGTTTAACCAAATATCTTGTGCCTTAATCATGCAGAAAAAGTTTCCATACATCTATAAAGTGAAAATAATGCCAGCTTGATTGACCTTAGTCAGTCAGAGACAATAACCTCTGTTCTCATCGAAACACCAAATCGTTTTCCTTCTGAAAACATTTAGCATTTGAAAATGTTTAACTCCTTGAAACCATCTGTAGTATTTGTCAATACTGGCTAATCTGCTCAAACAACATTCACTGCAAACTGTTTTGTCCCCACTGCTATGGCCGAGGAGGTTTAGAGCAGAGGAGAGAGGTGTGAAGGTTTTGGAAATAGCTGGGTCTGTAAGGAGGAACCAGCTAAGCCTTTGCTTGCCGAAATGACTGTACTGAAGTACAATTCCCACGTACACATGGACGTGAGTGTGTGAAAGGCAACCGAGGCTAAAGATGGAAGAAGCGAAGGCGGGCAGGCCAAGCACCGGGAGATGCGGATTTGAGGGAAACCTGTGGTCGGAGTTCTGACCCCGTGGACGGAGAGGCACTTGCAGAGTCAGACAAGACGTGTACAAACGATCAGACGTTTCCTTTCAAAAGAAACATGAATGGCTTTTTTCTGCTGAGATCTGGGGTTAGAAATCGAGGGGAAGGGCGAGTGCACTGAATGCAAACCTACTGCTAATGCCACCTCCCTCCTCCTCCTCCCGCAGTGAAGAAGAACACGAAACAACCCTGCCGAAAGATAAGCTGATCGCTCTGTGCAAATATGAACCCATCCTCAAATGGATGAGAAGCTGCGACCACATCTTGTACCAGGCTCTGGTGGAGATCCTCATCCCAGACGTGCTCAGACCGGTGCCCAGTGAGTATCCTGCGGCGTGGCCAGGACGGGTGGTCCCGACCCCTGCTCAGCTCCTGCTCCTCGCTGGGCTGAGTCACGGGATGCTGTGTCTGACAAACAGCCATCCGTGACTCACTCATCTGGCTACCACTGGCCACAAAGATTTCCATTGGAAAAGCTGATTTAGAGGTTTTTGTTTTGAATACAAACTAAAATATTATGGCAACAGCACTATTCCTCCTGCAGCATTGCTCTGCGTCAACAGTACGTTGTGGCCCCTGGAAATTCCCATGCCTTTTAAAATTTGGTTTATTGCATATCCCATCTCCAGACTTTGACTAGGAGTCAAGGTAAAAGCACAGGCTCAATGCACAAGTAAGCACGGCTAATCCTTGTGAGATGTTTCCTTGGAGATAGTATCTTTGTTTACGCAGGACCATCCTGTCCCTCCTGGAAATTTGGGGTCAGCTTTCGTTTGGGAGATTGAGATTGAGGGTTTTCTCTCTGATTTGGCTTCTCAGTGAGGTGCGTGTGTCAGTCTTCCCGAGGCCTCAACTCAGTGCTGGACTGGGCTGAGCAGTACTGGAAAGCCATGTCCCTCTGAGCTGCTGTTGTCAGCCTACATGCTGGGGCACGTGTGTGTCTTTAAAGAGCGTATTTCAACATTTGGAAAATCCTCAGAAGGACCATGAATAAAAAAAGGATAAGAAGGAATAAGAAAATAAGAAAAGCTTGAGTAACAACATTAGAGAATAAGAAAAATTTGAGTGCATCTCAGGACCCAGCTGATTTCCTTGATGCCAAAGCGAGATGAGAGCTAACCAGATCAGAGGCTGTGCTCTCCACAGCAGTCCTAAGCTAGAAAGTGGTGTCCAAAGGTGATGCGGAACAGCCTTTCTAACTTTGCAGACTTCTTTACAGGCACGCTTACACAGGCGATTCGTAATTTTGCCAAGAGTTTGGAAGGGTGGCTGATGAACGCAATGAGTGAATTTCCCCCCCAGGTTGTCCAGACCAAGGTAAGCAGAGGGACCGCGGTGCAGGTCAGGGGTACGAACTGCGTGGGTGCGTGAGCATGTTGCAGTTTTCCATGGTGATTGGAAGTCACTGCGGGGGTTTGGCCGCGTGTACTCCAGACTAGCACGGTGTAACGAATAATTATGAACCAAAATGAGCAAGGAGTGGGAGGACAGGTAGGGCAATTCCTTTGTGCCAGAAGCTGGTGATGCTCTGTCTGTTGAGCCATTCCTATGTCCTGAAATTGCAGATAAAGCTTTGTAGAAGAAAATCTCTGCACTGGAATGAGGCTTGTCCTACTAGAAAGCACAGGACACCTCATGGACTGAACGGCGTTGCAAAGACTGAACCCAAGGCTCCTACTCCCCCTCTCCTAAAGCCGTGGATTCTTGCAGCCTGTTCTCACCTTGCTGGTCTCTGCTGGAAGCAGAGTGTGAAAGCCTGTTAGTTTAAAGAAAAGAAATGTGGAGACTGGTTTGCAAGATGCAACAGATGCTGCAAAAGTGCTTGTGTATGTGTTGGCCAGCAGCGCGGGTGGGACTGTGCAGGTTACCCCAGCTGATGTGTGCCGTGTGCTTGAGCTCATCCTTGGGAAGGGTTTGCCTTCCAGCTCCGTGGCCTCCTGCTCGCGGTGCCCTACGTGCTGTGTTACAGGTCGGGGTTGTGAGTGCCTTTGCGCAGACGTTACGGAGATACACGTCCCTGAATCACCTGGCTCAGGCCGCCCGTGCGGTGCTGCAGAACACTTCCCAGATAAACCAGATGCTCAGCGATCTCAATCGGGTCGACTTCGCCAATGTGCAGGTAACTTATGGTACCTTTTCCTAGGTCATGTCTAAAACTGGGACTCTTTATGAGGTTGTCTGCTGGTAGCCAGCATCTTATTTCCAATACTAAAAAGCGATTAAATGAACAATTTAACTGTTTTGGTGTTACTTGTCCGGATAAGTTTGCCATCTCACTGTGAATAGCAGAGAAGATACTAAGGAACTTCTGTAGGAAGTAGTGCTACCAACAATAATATAGTTCTAATATTAATATTGATCTGTGGTCTGGAAGGATCAGAGGAGACGTCATTCAGAGCTGATTTGGAGTCCTTGTCTATTAGAAATGAATTCCTGGGTTGGGATGCAACAACCATGCAGGTTTGGCATGAGTAACTGTCAGCCCTTCTTCCCGAGCAGGAGCAAGCCTCGTGGGTGTGCCAGTGTGAGGAAGGCATGGTACAGAAGCTGGAGCAGGATTTCAAGCTCACTCTGCAGCAGCAGAGTTCTCTGGACCAGTGGGCTACTTGGCTGGATAATGTTGTTACTCAAGTCCTGAAGCATCACGAAGGCAGTCCCAGCTTCCCCAAGGCAGCCAGGCAGTTCCTGTTGAAATGGTCTTTCTATAGGTACATTTTCTTTCTCATTTTGGAGATACTTCTGCATCGGGCTTAGGGCATGTAAATAGCTCCTTGAAAAACCAAGGCCAAGTTCTTTATCCTCATGCGACTCTGGTTAACTGTTGCTCTGCCCTGGTACAGAAGGGAGCATTGTGTCTCCTGTGTCCTTTCGGGATGGGGATAGGGTGCTCCGTCAACTGATTGCTTACAGTGCTTCGGTACGTTTGGGCTGGAGGTAGAAACAGAGCACTGTGCCCCACGGTACCTTCAGCGTCAAGAATGCAAATCAGCTGTGATGCAAGTGTAAAACACAACCCAAATATTTTGTTTCCCGGCCATTTTCCAGCTCCATGGTGATCCGTGACCTCACCTTGCGCAGTGCTGCCAGCTTTGGTTCCTTCCACCTGATTCGCCTGCTCTATGATGAATACATGTTTTATCTGGTAGAGCATCGTGTTGCCCAGGCAACAGGGGAGACACCGATTGCTGTAATGGGAGAGGTGAGAATTCTTTATGCCTTAGAAACAAACCCAAACTAAGCAGCACTTAAAGAATCACGGTTGATTCACAAACCATACTGTGTCCTGAACGTGTTTTTAAAACCATCTTTGCCAAAGGATTTAGGGAATAGTTTTGAGTGCCTGGCGCAAGGATCCAGCTCCTTGAGCATCTTCCATCCTGGTTCGCTAATACCTGAGCTGATGGGTTTTGGGGCACTTGAGCATCAGCTGGGCTTTGGAGGCCTGGAGGAGGGAGGAAAAGGATCGCCCCACTTCTCTCCATAACCTGTGGGTACCAACCCTGACTTTGAGGTTCCTGCCAGAGCAAAGTCCCATCAAACACAAAAACTAAACCAAGCAAAAAAAGGTCCAAAATTTGCTTTCCCTGCAGCTTTCGGTGATACCCTTCACTGAACTTCCTCAGGCCTCTGCAAGCTCCAGAGTTACATGCGCAGTCAGCCACTCTCTGGTTTTGACTTGAAGAAATGATGGGCTGTTTGTGTGGTTTGGGGGATTTTGTTTTGGTTTGTTTTAACAGATCAGACAGTAAATCTGGTGCTTGGCTTGCAGGCTGCTCCTCTCCTGCCTAGCTGAACCCACATCCAGTTTTTCACTCTGAAACGCACAGATTTAAAAGCCCCTGACAACCCGTGACAGCAATGTAGAAACTACTGTTAATTAAAACTGATCTCATTTGCTCCTTGAAGCTCATGCTATTTGCTTCCTTCCACGGAGCTCATGTAGGGGAGCCAGACAAACCAACTTCGTGCCTTTTGCTTTCCCTTCCCCTCCGTTAGACCCATGCTGTTGCACCGAGTCAGCAGTGCTGCGAGTTCCCATTCTTCCCTGCAAAACCTCTGTCTTTATTGGTATTAAAGGAACATGAAAGGCAGAGAGTGGCTTCCTGCACAGCCCGGCTGTGGGAGGCTTTCGTCCTTCAGGTTTTGCCTTTCCTTCATTAAACTCTTACAATGTTTCTGTTCTCCCGGAGGAGGCGGATTCTTCCCAGCAAAAGAGGATGAATCGTGTCCTTCCATTTCCATTGCTCCCTTCATAACTCCTGCTCTCCTCAGTTCCTTCTGCCTCCCAACTTTGCATGACTTTTCAGCATTGTTGTTAGAGCAATTTAGTGTTTCAGACCTCGTCACAGCGGGAGACAACACATCTCCAGAACCAAATATATCCCCAGCTGCCTGGTTACGCTTGGCACCATGGCCTTGCAAGCCAAAGCACTCTCCTGACATGAACGTGAAGGCTTTGCAGAGAGGCGGAGTGATGGCTGAGTCCCAGGAGAGGTCTGAGAAGTTGCCTGAGAGATGCAGAGGGCTGGAGAAAGGGCACCATCCTTTGGTCTGTGGCAGCACTTGGTCATGACTTGGGAGATGGAGAAATTTCTCCCTTCGTTCCAGAGCTCGATCCTGCCCTGGGTTGTTGTGTGTGGTGTTTGCCCAGAGGTTTAAATGGCAGCGACAGACTTTTCCCCAAAACATGCGGTTGGTTTTGCTTTCTGCTCTTCACCACCAGCACTGCTGACGCTTGTGGTTTCTCCTGAGCGCTTAAGCTGCTTGTTAGAATTGCTTGGAAATAGATACCAACTTGCAGGTCTGGCGCCTTGGGTCTCCAAGAAACCTCACTTACCTTGTAACTCCTTTTTCTTTCAGTTTGGTGACCTCACATCCCTGTCCCCAACACTACTGGACAAAGGTACCTTCCTCTTCCTCAAGGGTAGTCCTGCTGGGTCAGGGTTGGATCGCTGTGGGAGGGGGAAACCTTGTGCTGGCTCTTCCACCCTGCTCTGTTGGGAAGAAGAACCTCTTCCCCTCCAGTCGCCACCCTCATGCTGAGACCTGTCCTTTGCAGATGACATCAGTGACCTGGGCAGCGAGGTGGACACGGACTCCCGGAGCTTGGGGGAGCCACTGGTGAAACGGGAACGCAGCGACCCCGGCCACTCGCTGCAGGAGATCTGAAATGGGGACTCGGCTTTTCTCCAGCTGGACGAAGACATCCGGAGCCATGTTTGACGGTCGCAAGCCTGAGTCTCCCCGTATCTGCGTTATTAGTGCCTCTTAGTTTCTCTTTATGTTTACTTGCGTTTGAGGATGGGCTATGGGGGGTGAGCCCGGGTGGGTGGTGGGACAGGGCCGGTTTGGCCGCCTCCTTTCCTCCAGCATGACTGCTGGCTGGAGGGCAAAGGTCCAAAATCTGCTACCGAGCGATGGAAACCTCCGTGGTCAGCAGCAGATCGGATGTGCCTGGCTGGGAGAGGCTGTCCTCTCCAGCCTGAGCTAGGCGGGCAAATGAGGCTTTCTCTTTCAGGGAAGGTGGTTTGGGTTTCTTCCCCACTTCTCAGACTTCACTGTGATACAAACTTGAACCAATCAGTGCCCAAGAAGAAGGCAAAATACCTGACCCTTCTCCTCCAGCCTTTCAAGACAAGCTGTCCTGGCTTTGACTTTGCCAAATCATTCGTACTGGGGAGCGCAGGACAGTACATCTCTCTTGTACCCGCCTGGGGAGGGGGCTCCAGGCTGCCCATCCGTCTGGTCCCGGCAGAGTGGTGCACCTGCATGCGCTGGTCTGACACGTATGTGCTCTGGGACTGACACGTGTGTGCTCTGGGACTACAGGACAAGCGTTCCCTCCTGCTCCCGTGTCTGCCCAGCTTGGGGTTTCATCGCTGATCTGCGAATGCTCCGGGGACGCTGTCAGGCCAACTCAAGATACCAAAGGACTCTGAGCAAGCAGCAGCTGGTCACGAAGTGCGTTCGTTGCCCCCTGCGCTCTGATGCCCATGGGCAATCCCACGGGCGATCCCCATCCTCGCCAGGCTACCCAGGCAGAGGGGAACTGGTCCTGAGTCCTGGATTTTGTAAAATTCTTGCTTGATGTCCTGTTAAAATGTTGAAGGTAGGGTGCAGCTGCCTGCGGGGCTGCGTCCGGAGCATGGGCGAGGGTGTGCGACTGCAGTGCCTTAGGGTGGGCCGGCCTCCCCGCTTCCCCCCCCCGGCTCTGGGCCAGCCGGCACAGCTCAGACTGACAAAACAGCCCACCCCATGTAGCAGCGAGGGGCTGTCACGGACCCCGGGTATGCTCGACTCTACCGTGGCCTTGCCCCTTGCTGTGTCACTTCGCCTTTTCCTGCGGCACCGTTGGGGTGCTGGCTCCCGTGGGGCTGAGCTGGGGGAGCTTCTGCCCCAGCGAGGTTTTTATTCTCCTTTTCCGTGTCCGGGGGGGTCCGGGCTGATGCGGGCTACAGGGCTACAGGAGAGGGGTCGAATCGGGCATCAAGCCAAACTGCAAAAACAAAGCCCCAGGGCAAATCTTTCTGTGAATAAAGGCCGTGTCATAAATAGCTTTTATTATTATTATTTCTAATGATACAGTGTTTGATGTGAGCTTTTCCAGGGGTCTCGTGTACATTTGCATATCAGAGTATATTCTATCCAAATCTATTATTTACTCATTCCGAATGGTACTAAGGTAGCCGTGACACTTTAAAAAATATTGCTAATGGAAAGTAAAAAGAAAGTGTGTGTAGTGGCACATCTTTCCCTCTTACTGTCCCGTGCTGTCGTCTGTCAGGGTGATGTTTGTCTGTAAATGTCTCATATCGAAGTAGCAGGAGACAAATGAGAAAAGCTGGATTTATCTGTAAATAACGACAAGGAATACTCTCTGGGTCAGAGTCCGTGCTTCTGATCTTGCCGATGAGATAAGATGGTCTAAAAAAAAACAACTGAGCAACCAAATCTTAAACTCCCCTGCTCCCACCGAGTGTGATGTTCACTTCAGCTGGTGCGTTGGCTCTTCTCTGCAGCCACTGCCGGCCGAACCCAGCCACCTTCTGCTTACCACGGACGTGCAAACGAGATGCTCTGGAGCTCTGCAGCACTCTGCAAGAAGTCTGGATAACCACCTAAACCCCATCTGCACAAAATTCCCAGCTAAACCTGAATAGCAATAAACATTTATCAAGTGCTCAGGCCTGTACGATAACTGTTGTTGTCCCATTTCTTCTTTAATCACTGAAAGGAGGGGGCAGGCAGATGCTGCAGCCTTGGGAGGAGATGCAGGACCTGCCCGGTGCAGTCTAATCGAGGCAGTTTTGGCCGTGGCTCCGGTGTCTGCAGGAAAGCAGATTCACCACGAAACAGCGGCTGGTTTGTAGGGGTAATGCACCCATTACACCGGAGTTCACGGAGGAGGGAAGAGGCTGAAAGATGAGGCTGCTGCTCAGCACAGGGCCGTAAGGAGCATTTTCTAATTACGCTTCCAGACTAGTTGTGGAGGACGGGAGCAGTGAGACGGGGCTGTGACGAGTGACAGATCATCCCTGCTCTGGCCCCTCGGGAAGGGGAAGGTTTAGCCTCAGCCTCTCTCCCCCTGCCTCCTTGCTTGCTTCGCTCTCCTTCTGGATGATGCCCAGGCTTGTGGGGATGGCTGGACCAGCCGGAGCCCCTTCCTTCGGATACTGAGTCTCAGGGCTGGACCAGAGGGGTTATTTCCCCCTGGCTCCCTGGAGAGCTGAGCAGCACCTCCTGACCCTGAGCATACCCACCTGCAAGTGGAAAGCGAAGCACAGCTCAAAATGCTCCCATTAAAACACCCCCCACCCCGGCTTCGGCTTGCCTCTGGCTCCATCGCCCCTCCTGGATGGGCAAATCCCCGCAGAGATTTTGGCGCAAGCGTGGCTGGGGGGCTCGGGCGATGGGACCCCAGCAAAGGATGGGGGACGCCGGGCTGCCTGTGCGGCCCCTTGGCAGGCAGCACCCAGGCGTGGGCGAGGGGTGGTTTGCGGCACCGTCGGCACGCGTGGTTCCAGTTGAGAGAGAACGCAGGTGGGAGCGTTGGGTCTGGGGGTTTAAGAGCTGTGGTGTCCTGACTGGCAGTGGATGCTTCCCACCACAAATCCAGATGAGGTGTGTCCTGGTTCTCACCTGCCACCAAGTGCCACCCCCCTGCAGGGACCGTGGCGGTGCCCGGTTCCGCGCCCGGGTGGCCCTTGGCCACCTCTCTCACCCCAGGACTTTCTCTTCCACCCCCCATCTCACCGCCCCGCGGTTCCCAACCGGCAGAGAAAGCCGGGACGTGGCAGGGGGGGTGACACCAAGGGCACCAACCCCAGGGAAACCAGGGGCGTGCAGCATCCCAGAAGGAGTTTGGCATTGCCGGTCCCTGTGACTTATCCCTGTGACTT